GATCACAATAGATAACTGCATTTATATTTGCATGTCCCGAGGAGAAGCCCCCGTGTTTGTTCAACCTGACTGACCCATCATACCTTTTTTTTAGGTAATTGTCTAATGCGCCTAGAATGTTAGAAGGCTCTCCGAGCCAGACGGAAGATGGAGTATAAGTCCTTTTGTTTGGAGTGCTTCCAGCTTTGTATCTGAACCTCCACTTTCTTTTCTTTCCTGAGGCATCCTTACCACTTCGGCAGGTATAATCTCACCTCTTGGAGCTCCAGTTTATAGTCATAGAATAGAATCTCTTTCCTTTGACTTTAGGGCTACTGAGGTTTCCGTGGATGACGCAATTCACGGATTGCTGACTGGGGATCTCAGGACGTGTTGGGTCGACTACCTTCACGACCAGGTAAACTTAAGGCCCTAGGAACCTAGTAGCTGTGGATGACGGGTTTGTGGTACCCCGGCCCAATTACCTCTACCTCCTATTAGGATTACTCTACCTTCCTTTTGTTGAGCCTCTTTGAGCCCTGTTGCTCCTTTGACTTTGTTGACATCACCTTGAGGCTGACATCCCCTTGACCAAAAATTTTTCTGTGTGGACTCCTGACGTAGCTCTACATGCGGCGCAAGGTATTCCTGAGTTATTTTCAGGTTATTTTTGGGTTATTTTCAATAATCCTGAAATAACCCAGAAATAATCGAAAAATAACTCATGAATAATCTGCACCGCAATTAGAGGTACGTCAGATGTCCGTACAAAAAATGCGCCCCACTTGACGGCCTGAGGCCAATGAGCTGCAGCCCATTAGGGATACGATGATTTGTCCTCTGCCCTCTGGCCCGGGCGTGCTTTGACGTATTGGGATATCCCCGTCAAGATGATTTAGGTTATTCGATGGGCCATGTGTGTCGATGAGCCACTACTCATTCGAGATGTGAAAGACTCACTCTCTGCCCGATGACTTAGCATGAGTTTTGAAGCATTGAGATTGTTCTCACACGAAATAACCTTCCTTTGAGTACATATTGCCCCAAGTTCACGATAATCTAAGCGAAACTCCTTTTATCGAGAGTATTCTTGGGTACCCCCCAAGATGTAATTAACCAAGTGAGATGCGTCCCATTAGGAGTGCTCTTGACCCCAGAACAGGAACTTACACCTGACTCTCTAGTTATTGGTAGTCTACGTAGGTATTTTTTCGCGGATATCGATTTAAGGTGCTTTCGTCATATCTTGTTTGGGCGGACACTTTTAACCTATCCTTGCGAGGTTTACCGCAAGTAAGCTCTCCACGTTTTGTGTTTTCTCGTGTTTGTCACTTTGTCGTATGTTCTTTTTTATTCGGCTTTTCTCCTCTTCGAATCACTAATTTGATTCGAGAGGGAGATTTATTCGAATGGAAGAAGTATACGACGATCGACAAGCTGGCGACTCCTAAAATAGAAGAGAGAAAAACAAACGAAAAACATTTGGTTCTGCAGTGGTGTCGTACGTGAGAGGCAAATTGAAGAGGCTCGGGTCTTCGTACGTTGCTGAGAGGAAAAAATTCTTGTGCAACGGAGAGGAACAACGAAGGTGGAGGAGAGGAGAACTAGAAACATGCAAATGAGAGGGGAGAGGAGGAGGTTCGGATTTCTATCTCATGTCCCACAGCTGCGTCGAAATGAGAATGATAAAGAGGAAAGATAACTTTAGCGGGAAGAGTTAAAGGAAATATAGTGGCGTGCAAATTTCAACTAATTAATATTAAGTTTAATTAGTTTTAATTAACAGAATTTACAACTTTTAATTATTTTTGTAACGTCAACCATTCCTTTTATAAGTAATTAGTACATGTGATAATTTATATATCGTAGAAATTCCTTGCAAACTTATGGTGGCATAAAAGAAGACAATTTGAATTTAGAAACAAAATTAACCAACAGTACGCGAAATGATTGCCCATTTGCAAGAAAGAGAGTAGTGCAAATTGCATAAAAATGATTAGCCAAAATGAGTACTAAAGAAAGCATAAATAAGATCCTTAATCAGAGCAATGATGGAGATATGAACAAGGCTTCAACGAAAAATACTGATGGACAATTTGTTAAACTAGGCTATTGTGCAACTTCGATAATCAAAGAAGGTTGGCAATGACAGCATAGTGCAATAAAATGGTGGAGTCATCAAAGATGATCATGTTGGAGATGAAGAGAAGGATTTCAATAAGGGAGAAGCCAATACAATACAAATGAGTAACAATTAGAAAGAAGAATGAGAGCGGGCCAATGAAGATTAGAAGATTGGGAAGTGCAACAATGGAGGAAGGGCGGAAGAACTCTAGGCCAGGACTCTTAACACCATGTCAAAAAGTAGAGAAAAATATAAATGACATATTGTCTTTCCAATACAAGAATATCATGCATATATAAACATAAATTAAAATAACAAAAACGAAAATATCCTCAATAATAAGTATAATAATAATAACGAATAGTACAATTTTCTATAATAGATAATTGGCACGTGAAAATGTCAATATGATAAAATACACAATTTTGTGTGGGCTCTGAAAATTTCGACCTCTCCTCGTGAACTCTTTGCATTTTATTTTTATTTTCTTTTGAGAGAGCTTTGGAGTGTCAAATTTCTAGAACGTGAATTGGATTGTAGATAAGACACTACCAAAGATTTTGCACTCATTTTGCGAGAATTTTTTGATCTATGGTTAATTATTCCTCCAGATAACAGAAGAGCACTTTCGAGTAAGGATAGTCATTAAAAATTGAGTATTCAACATATAACAACAACAGACATATAATATTTTTAAATTATAAAATCCACACATGGAACTTAAAGCGAATTGTGGGAAAATGAAGACAAAACTCTATCAAGATCTCATGATTTTGTCATCCCCGGCCATCGTGATCCCTAATCTACTTAGTCAAAGGAGGTAATCGACCCAACCTAACAGAAGTATTCTTGTCAACAACCATGGTTTATGTCGTCCAAGAGATCCTTGTAAATATGGGGTGAATATTTGTCTAAGGGGACAAATTTAAGTCGACCTTAACTAAGAGAAGGGTTTCTGTCAATCAAGTGTACATTTATGATTCACAACTCAAATAGTAGAAAGTCATTGAGGAACATACGGGTTGTGACCGTGATCGAAATATAATGATGTCATTTGGCGGCAGAACAAGGTGGACATAAGACTCGAGTCATGTCTTTATTGTGATGTGATTGTTTTGATTATGAATATAAGAATACATTTAATATGAGATAAGCTCTTTGTGAGCTGAAGTCAGTCAAAAATTTGTCACCCTTGACAAACTATTGCGGATGATAGATGGAATTTGTTTTTAGCTTTTACTGATTTTAATTTTAAAATGAGTGTTTTAGTTGATTACTTTGAAAATAATGATTTAAAAGACTGACTACTCCAGTTGAAATTTTTAATCAACACAATCACTATCACGGAGTTACGTATTTTAAAATTTTTATTTTTGAAAAGGGCATTTACATTTTTAGGGGTATGAACCCTGTCGACTTCAATCCTTCCAAGGAAGAGGATCGAACCAGATGATTTGGACTTATAAATTCTTATTTTAGGATTTGGACGGTTATTTTGAAGTTAATACACTCAAAAACTCCAGTCCTTAAAAGGAGGATCGGACTAATTAAGTGGGGAATTACAATATTATCCTATAGACAAGACGGCCCGAATGACCAACACGTCATTCTCGAGCCATATTTGAGCATTCAATGCATTGGTTGGAGCACATGTGGGCATCTAATTTGTGCACTTGAGCTATTTTAGCTGAAGCATTTAGTGACTTGAGGCAATTTATATGATTTTAAAACATGAATTAAATCAAAAAGCTTGCATACGAGTTTTTATTTTAAGCACTTTACCGTTTTCTGTTCGCTACCAGGTGTATTATGAATTTGGTGGTAGAATTAGACATATAAGTCATAGTTTAATATTTAAGAATGACATTTATATTCTTGAATTGAGCTATAATTTATGTATTCATATTTGAGTCAATTAAGCAAACCAGCTAGACGGCCAGGAGCAAGATTGATGAACTAATAGAATGATATGCACTAATAAAATGCCAAATCTGAATGCAGCTTGCACATAACAAATAATATATTGTACTTAGTAGTTTTTAAATAGAACACAGGAGCAAAAAAATATAGTTGAAGAGCATATTTATATATGAAGCTACTGACAATGCAAGGTCTGAGCCAGCGTTAATGCTGCCCTATTTTATAGGGAAGCAACTTCTATATCTCAAATACATCAACTCCATGTCACAACATGGAGGCAACTTAATCATTGCTGGACCCTCCACCCTCCTAACTCAAAGGGGAAACTCTTTGTTGGTGTTAATTTGCATAAAACCAATTCCTTTTATGTTACACGTAAAACTACAATGTAAGAGCTTGATATCCTAAAGAATTAAATTCAATAATACTACTTAAGCAAATGATGAATCATCAACTGCCACAAATCTCTTGGTTGAGTTGTACTGCTTTGAGACTCCAAAGCAGAACACAATGGAGTGAACCCATTACAAAGAAGAAAAAAATCATATATTACAATACCATAATCAATAACCTCAATTACATAGAAGTGGCAATCTAGAGATTGAAAGGAAGTGCCAAGCATAACCTTTAAGAGAACTAACCCAAGACAATAAAGGACAAAATTGAGCTTTGAATTTGTGTAAAAATATATAACCACTGGCTACTTTTTTCATCAAGCTTAATTACCTTATAATTTATGCACCACATGTCATAAGTAATTTGTAAGCAATGGAGTGCAAAATACGCTTGAGAGAAGTTTAAAATACCCTGACTACTAACAAAAGGTCATTTTAGTCTCAAATTATAAAGTGCCGAATTAAGACTAATCTAGCACTTCTATAGACTCCGGAGTTACAATAACCCCTTGCAAAAAACCAAAAGAACATTTTCGCATGTTTTTCCTAATATAAAAACTAAAAGATATATATGAGAGTACCTGGTTGTAGTAGGTAGGCATCCATGTGAGAAGAATAAAGGTGCCCCAATTGTGACAGAAATGAGATATTATAAGAGCCCAAACTGGAGGCTTTGATAGAATTAGTCTCCAAGGAATAGATGCAACAGGCTCCTTTGCCGCACTTCCATCCAAAATAAGCCTTCTCTCATCTAAAGAAAGTTCAGGATCTTCATTTGGAGAACTGTATGCCTGGCAAAGAAAAAATTGTTACAATTCATAAAATCCTTTTTCATTTGTGATTAATAGAAAAATGATTGAATCTAAATAAGCAATAATTGATTCTATAGAATTAATCTTTATTCAATGGAAACTAATAAACTTCGTATAGTGCGAATCCAACAAAGAAAAACTTCAACTTTTACTACCCAAATTGTAATTGGATCACAAAAATATAGATGAATATCTGCAAATAACGGTGAATGGCTTTATTGAGTCAACATAATAGGCATGGAATTCTGATCCCATTTCAAAAAAAAATATGCATGCACAGTATTTTCAGGAAGATTTACATACATACCACTCAATTCCTATGTATTTACATATCTAACATATATACTTCAATTTTTACATAAATATCATACCGCCTTATCCATGCATTAAAGGTTTATTTCACTTTTTAGAAGTTAAATTAGTGGTACTTTTTATGTGATATGAAAGATTTGACTGGTATAAATGTAAAAAATGCATAGTTTAGGTTTTAGATATGGAAATACATATAAATTGGATGGTATGTATGTAAATGTCCCTTTTTTTAAACTCAAGCAATTGTAAAGATATGACAAATCTTTTGCTAGAGTTTGGACAAAAAATAACTTACTTTGCTCAGCCACACTGCGATCCAAACACTTCCAAGCGATCCAAATGAATAAAAGACAGAAGGCCAGCCATACTTGTGGATTAACATGGGAGAAAAGGCCAAACCCGTTACAGAACCAAGGTACATCCCACTGTATACTAAGGCAAGTGATCTGCTTCTCTCGGAAACAGGAATCCATTTTGAAAGCATATTATTCATAGCAGGCATGGCAACACCCTGAAAAGGGAAACAAAAGGTTAATGAAGCTGTACTGTATCTACTAATGCTATGCAAAGGCAAGAATTTGCTAGCTTAAGGCTAGCTTTTGATGGAGAATGTAAGATTTACACAAGAAACAGAAGAAATTGAAGCACGATTCGCACAGATAAATCAAATAGATTTGCAGATATAGCAGGAAAGACAGGAATAGCGTCCAATTTAATGTAGATTGATGCTTCGGTCAATATCGCTATCTAATGGATTTTTTATTTTTTAAGTATTTTTTCTCCCCTCACTAGTAGAATTATTTTAACTTTTCATTCAACTATTATATAATTTAAGGCAATCTTATGACAGTCCATGCGTGAAAACCAGAGGTGGCAAATTCACCGGTGATGATTCTTGATGTTTCTGTAAGAGTATGAAACTTTTGTAGTCTGGAATGTGATTACCACTAAGAATAATGGAAGGTCTATTATCGAAGCTCTTTCATTTCTATAGAGAAGTAATTGATAAACTCTGGCCAAGTGAAATAGATTGATCCAAACCAACTTGAAGTTTTCAGATCCCGCTTTTGAAATGGTCACAATTTAGAGGAGGCTACTTAGGGCTTTTTTGAAGCTTCAAGTAACTTTTTTGAAGCTTCAAGTAAAAGCAGATTAATTCCATGGTATTTTCAGTACACAGTTTAAGTTATAGAAGTTAAAAAACCTCTAGAATTAAGGGGTTTAGGATTGGACAATGAAAGGTATTGTTTGGTTCTGGAAAAGCAATCGTCTTTGGGTGATAGTTGGATTAAGTTTTGGATGACCATAGTGATTAGGAGGATTATGAGCTTATGTCACATCCAGGTCTAGTATGAGATGCACCCTAGCAACATGATGCGTGAAGACAATATATAAACCTCTTTTGTACACAGAGAAGATCCACATACAAACAATATAAATAACAAGAGTAAGCAGAGAAAGATAAAACTTTATTTCAATTACTAATACGAGTTACTTTTAAATAAAAAAGTAGGACGCCATCCAATGAGAAAAACATGTAATACAACAGCAATAAAAGCACAATACCCAAAACCCAAAAAGAGAACAAATGAAACTAGTACATAAATTGAAACCACTAAAAAAGCCTAATGCAAGATAATGTGTTTCTGTTGTGATGGTTCACCAAACACACCAGTATAATCTGTTAAAGAAAAATACAAATAATTGTGTTTGACGTATCAAACTCAACAAATAATTATTATTTATTAAAACATAGACGCAGAGTATTGGGGCACGCAACATAAGCAACAGAAAAGTATGATTTGCTATATATATGCTAATAGAAAAATCAATATCATCTAATGATCATAACAACAGTGATATCACACCAGTGAATGAGCGAGACCAAATAGTTTAAATTACAAATAGACTTATAATCACAAATATGAGTGGCTTATAACCATGTACTCTTTAAACATTAATGTCACAAGGCCAAGTATACTTATATGCATCAAAACATGACCCACCCGATATATAAACAGTCGGTTATTTACAACAGAAGAAAACCGACAATTTCTCCCATTAAAACCCGACAATTTCTCCGAGCACCAGTCGGTTCGGCTAGCCATTAACAAATGACTTTATACCGACATGATACTATCTTAGTACATGCATATTACACATATCACCTACTATTCTCAGAAGTAACATTAGCAGTGTGATCAAAATTAATCATATACAAGTATGAATCTCAAAAATTAAATCTAAAATAGGGATAAAATGCAGAGACAATAAATACTACATAATACAAGAAATAATTGAATAAACATGAATTTAAGCAGCAATAAATCAAGATAGGCATAGTCATTTGATCAGCTACTTTACTATGGACAATAAAAGAATTCTGCAACCTGTATACAACAACATAAATGAATCCAAAAGGCATGACAAACAAATAAATTAACTAAGGATTTAATACAAAGAATATGAAAAACGCCTATAACAATGACTGATATGTTTATCCTTAAATAAATAACAGCCATTATCTCGAGCTGACCAATGCAAGGCCCTAATTAAATTGAGTTTTAACAAATGATGCCAAACAGTATTTCATTCAAAAATTCAAATGAAATAAGATTTTATTAATTACAAGAAAGCTAAACAAATAATATTAAAACTAATTGATTATCTAATATCTTATGACCAGACCACGTTATCTTATACTTAGCCAAATTAGCTAAAAATCATTATAAAGAAAAAAATTAACAATAACAGTAAATACATAAATAAATAAGTCAATCCACCTTAAGGATCCTTAAACTGGATATTTCCATAATATTGCCATCAACCAAATAATATTTATATCAGGGAGGAATTATACTAAAATTAAAACATCATGTGAGCGAAGAAAAAGCAATAGGAGATGAGAAAAGAGAAGCTAATTATTGTCAGCAGCCCTTGGCAGGTGAAGGAGAGAGAGCGACTAACTGTTAAAACTTCAGGAGAAAAAACGAGAGAGAAGGAGACTTGTGGCTGAGATCTCAAAAGGAGGAAGGAGGATAACTTAGAGAAAAGATTTGAAACTACAGGGAGGAAAGATCGGCTATTATACTGTCCAAGCAGCATGAGATCTTAAATCGTTGCTAAAGGCTGCCGAGAAGTTAGTGCTGGAGAGAGGGAGGACTGCACAAGAAGATCGCCAGATTTGTACAAAAAAGGGGGCAAAATCATTCAGGATCATGGATTGGGATCTATTTGTAGTAGTAACATATTAGGAAATGGGAATTATTGCAGAAAAAATAGGAAAGGCGAGCTAGAGTGATTCATGTGAAGGGAAAGGAATTTCACTCAAGTTGGGGCTGCAGGTTATTCCATCAAGTAAAATGAAGCCCGATTCAAATCATTACAGCTTAGGTCAAGTAAGAGCACTTGCTTTTAGGAGATGGAAGAGTCATAGATACTTGGAGCTTGGGGATCAAGTTTGGACAAAATCAAGCATTAGTTTTAGAAAGCCTCGGTCACACACACACAGATGTATATATAATATAATGTGAGCTTGTATATTACATTAATGTTAATGGGAAATTTTATTGAGTTAAAACTCAAGGTATATAACATCATACTTGAAAGGGAATAGATGAAGGTGAAATGTGCAAGCAAAATGAGGAGGACGTGCAAACTTCAGTAAGAAAAAGTTTAATTAATGAATTTAATTTGGATTTCGTGAAGTAAAATAATGAAACTTAATCATTAAATAATGTGAATTTAATAGCTAATTAAAATGATAACTGCTTGAAATTTTGTAATATGAATGCCCATATTTAGGCTTCCAATTTTAAAAGAGTCGACTTAAAAATAAATCAATTAACAAACTAATCAATATCTGGATGAGTACTCATTCTTTTAATCTATGGTAATATTTTAGTTCTTTTCCACTATTTTGCATTCGTAGGTACTCGTACAAGCTTTATTTTGATTCACATGTTCTTCCTTTTATTGGTCACAATGTTATGAATATTAGTAGCTACTTACTATCATGTATTGGTGTATGTTATATATAGTGTGAATATGATGTTCATATGAATGATATGTTTATTTGACTGCTTGTATGTAAATGTTTAGCTATCATAGAGTCAATCATTTATGGAGCTAGCGGGAGAACGCTAAGGCAAATTGAACTACTTAAAGTAGTATAATTTTTAGACAGTACTCATATGACGGTTATACGGATATAGAATGATATTGATATGTTATTGATGAAGTAAAATTTATTGAATAACATAAGTGTTTATATCGATTTATTAAAAGCTTAGCTAGTATGCATATTGTTTTTAATTTCCCTTGTATTACTATAGTTTAGGAATACGAGTATTCATCAGTTTTGTCTAAGTTTACAGATGTTTTTAATTAACATTTCAGGTTTAATTAAATTATTAAAAGATGAGGATTGAAAGGAAAAATATTTCTATAAGACACAGACAATCAATAAAGACGTAAATATAATGCTTTAATTTAAATTGAATAGTGTCTTTTTCATTTGTTAAATGGTAAATAAATATAGAAAATTTATCCATTCGACTGTTTATACCCACTTTAGTTAATTTCAAGTCCCAGATCGGGCCATGAAATAGCATCCCCTGGCAATAAAAAAGAATGGACTAAATATGTTCCTATCTTGCTCTTCATAAACAAAAAGCGTGGTTGGCACCTCCAAATACCGATAGACATCCATATTTTCCTCTTTTCTTAGTCTACTTTGTAACTCTGTTTTATCCTTCTACTATCATAATAGTTTAAAATTTCTCACTATTATAGGATTTTAGCTCATCGCTTCTTCATCTTCTCGACTACCATTCTTGACTTGGTGAAGTCCCAAATATTTCGAGATTGTAACAAGCAGGTCCACCAAAATTCAACTATCTAAAAAAACAATAAATACCATGGAAAACTGCAAAACAATCAATAATCCAAGCAAGTGAAGGGAGATTAAAAAAAAGGTAAATTAATCAATCTCAATACAAGAATGCATTATCAATAAAAAAAAGTGTCAAATCAAGGCGTGAGAACAAGAATAAAATTACAATATTCACGAGAAATGCAGCAAATTTCATAATCCATAAAAGAGAGTAAAAGAAACCCACCTCACCAATCCCCATAAAAGCACGCATTATCAATAAGAAAGGGAGTCCAATCTTAGCAGCAATAGGTGTTAGAACTGTAGCAATCGACCACCAAACAACACCAAAGCCCAAAACCAGCTTGCCACCCATCTTATCTGCCCAAATCCCACCAGCTATCTGTGTCAAAACGAAAGTACTTCAAAATATAGAAAATAAAAAATAGAAAAACATTACAGAGAATAATTTGAACCATTCTTATATTCATAATGGCGGTCAAATAATGAACAGTAACAGCATGATACTATAAAGTGTCAAAATAGTCCCCTGGCTATTCACACGAGGTTATTTAGTCCAAGAGTTTATAAAAGTGTGATATTAATCTCTAGACTCTTTTAATATGAGCTGAAATAATTCTATTGAGTACTATTTTAGCCATAATTAAAAAAGTTTGGAGACTAAATTTGCACTTTTATAGACTCGGGCTGACATGAACCGTTGCAAAGGGACCATTTTGACTCTTTTGTCAAGTACTATATATTTCATATTTATCATAAGGTGGATAAGACAATTATCAATTTCACGTGCAGTTAGGGGTTAAAAACTTGCCAATTGTTTAAAGAAAGTATCGAGAAAATACCTGAGTAAGGAGATAACCCCAGAAGAAAGATGATTGGATTAAACCCATAGTTGTAGGAGTCCAATTAAATTCTGCTGACATTGGAAGAATAGCAATGCTCATATTCACCTGAACAATTCATCTGACACTCATGTCACTTTGAACAGCAAGTATATAAAATATTTTTAAAAACAAAGGAAACTCTAAAACTCGCTTACACGATCCATATTACATAGAAGAAATGCAGTAAAACAAAGAAGAACAATCATCCATCTTTTTGGTATCTTTTGCTTCCACCAATTAGCTGATTCTTGCACCATTTCCTTTTCCAAACACACTTCACTGGAAACTTCTGAAGAGTATAGTGAATCCAATGCTGATCCAGTTACTTCATATTGCTCTGATTTTAGATCAGCACACATCCTGGTAGCCAACTTTTGTTCTAATTGTTCACAAAGATTACGTGATAGACCAAGACTTTCTACCTTTCTTTGGTGTAACGGGCTGTTATTTAGCGAATCTGAGGAAATAAAGCATCTTATCCTTGCAGAAAACCTGTCCATTACATAAATGGCTTTGAAATTTTGCGGATATAAGTTTTCCTTGTAATTTGATTGAGGCTTTTCCATCTCACCAAAGAAGGGTGTTCTCTTTATCTTGATAATGTTACCAAATGGACGATCACTACGAAATGGCGATAAAGAATTCATCATAAAATAGTAACATCCTCCTGAAATAGTTATTTTAGTATTTCCACACCAAATACTTCTGCCTTTACAAAAGGCAAACTGCACTTCTCGGCCACCAGATCTACGACTCTCTCCTTGATATTTCTTCCCTACAAAAAGTCAAAAAGAAAAGTCAGTTCAAAACATATTAAGAAGAGCAGCATAAAGCTATAGAACTGCTCAAAAGAATGAGCAGAAGGCCACAATATTATTTATTTAGGTCCAAAAATCCTAATTATAACAGTATAAAACAAAGACTGTGTTGAAATATATAATTTAAATTACAGGATTTATTGTCTTTCCTCTTATATACAGAATTTATTCTCCTTCCTTCTTTATATTATTTGGTAGCTGTACAAAATCATGCTTAATTAGTCTTGTAATGTAATAGGAAATTATTGTAACCTATTTAGTTATTTTCCTTATCTAGGTGGTGGGACTCCTATATGTAAAGGGACCTGGTATTGAATCTGTAAGAAGGAAGGAATTTCTCTCCAAGTTTACCTTGTTTTTCATGGTATCAGAGCGAGAATAAAAATTCCAAAAAACCTAGCCTTCTTCCTTCCAAATCCCGAAGAATTGCAAAAGCCAAAGCTTTCTCTTCTGTCGATTTCGCCGCTGCTAATCTGTCGCGATGCGCGAAATCTTCGGTCTCTCCACTGTTCCGCAATTGGTGAAATCGGTGACTGCCACCTACGAAGCCCTCGTCCTCTTCCATCAAGCTCGACGGTTCTAGAACCAGACGTCGGCCTGCTTTGGATTGAGGCCGATCTCGGTGGCAAGATTGACTTTCCGGCAGGATTCCAACTTGAGCCCCTTATCAAAATTCATCTCCAGGAATCTCTTCTTTTTTTATCATGTCTGAAAATACAAATGATTTCACTACATTTATTCAGTTTTTCACCTTGTCATCTGCTTCAGCACCACCCTCCTCTAGAACCACCGAAAATCATCCAGCCCAAATCACCACAATCCGTCTCAATAATGATAATTTTCTACGCTGGTCACAATCGGTGAGGATGTACATTAGAGGAAGAGGGAAGATAGGCTACCTAACAGGGGAAGTCCATGAGTCAGCCACTACAGATCCATCCCACGCAACGTAGGATGCAGAAAATTCCATGATAATCACATGATTGGTGAATTATATGGAAGAAGAGATAGGCGCAAACTACAAATGTTACTCTACTGTCAAAGAACTCTGGGAGTATGTGACCCAAATGTATTCAGATATGGGTAACCAATCTCAGGTTAGGAACTATCCCTGAGATTTAGTGATATTTGTCAAAGTAATGATTCTGTCACAAAATAATTTAATTGTTTAAAGAGAATATGGCAAGACCTTGTCTTGTTTAATGATCAAGAGTGGAAGTGCCCTGATGATATTAGTAGGTATAGGATCATTGTTGAAGCTAATAGAATTTTTAAATTTCTGTTTGGACTTAATGAGGAGTTTGACGAGGTTAGGGGCAGAATTATTGGGAGAAGTTTCATGCCTTCAATCCATGAGGTTTTTTCAAAAGTCCGCCGCGAAGAAACTCGAAAAGGAGTGATGCTCAACAAGAAATCCACTCCTACCAACATACCTGAGACCTCGCCATTCCATTCTGAGGTTCATATCAGTAAACGGACTGTCCCATATTTACAAAAAAATGAGGCGAAACCCCGGGTGTGGTGTGATCATTGCAACAAGCCACGACACACTAAAGAAACCTACTGGTACCTCCACGGTAAACCTGCAGATTGGAAGCAAAGAAACAAGCGCAAGCCACCAATTGCAAATGTTGTTGTCGAACAAACCGGCCCATTTAGCAAAGAGAAAATTGATCAACTCCTAAATCTGCTAAACCTTAGTTTGGCTATTGGTACTCCAAATTATTCGATGGTACATGCAGGTAGAAAACTAAACTCTTGAATTATTGATTCGAGAGCTTCTGATCATATGACAAATTTACACTATTTATTTGATTCATACATCACATGTTCTGGCCATGAAAAGATTCGTATTGCTGACGGTAGTTTCTCTTCCATTACTGGAAAATGAAACATTAACTTGTCCAAGAGTATAAGTCTTAAATTTATACTCCATGTTCCAAAACTCAAATGTAACATTCTATCTGTCAGTAAACTTTCAAATGATTCTAATTGTCGTGTAATTTTCTGTGAATCTTCTTGTGTTTTTCAAGACCAGAATCGGAGATGACAATTGAGAGAGCTAAAAAGATAGGACTTTACTACTTTGAGGTGACTGTTCCTAGTGAAAAAAGGGTTCAAGCTTATAGCAATATGGGTTCGAACACAACAACAACAACAACAACAAAGCCTTAATCTTGTTGAGGTGGAGCCTGGTTCAAAAACGAAAAAAAGAAGAAGGAAATTACATGTTAACTGCTCCGGCCTACTCCCTCTTCCCGTTTCACGAAAGGGTGCCACTACCCCGCTTCTTCATTTATTTTGGTGTCGTAACTGCAGGAGGCAGTTTGGGAATTCTTCCTTTCAATATTTTAATGCATCAAATTAATGCAAAGCAGAAGAGAGGAAGACTTGCGGAGAGAATACCATATCTCCTTTTTCTGGCTTGGCGTGAGGCTTAGGAGAAGAAGACAAAAGTGGAGAGAATAAAAAGGTCTTTTTATTCTTATTCATTTTTCTTCTTTACGTTAGTGGAGGAAGCCCGCGGCAGAGGAAACTGGCATCGTCGAGAAAGAAACGACGGTGAAAGAATACATCGACTTTGTAATTCCTTGAAGTTAATATAAGTGTTTCTTGTAAATTGAAACATTATGATGTAATTTCTTCAAGTAATAAAATCCTCTGCATCTCCGTAGATGTAGGCAATTTGTTGAACCACGTAAATCTGTGAGTTATTTTCTGGTGTGAATTTTCTTGTTCTGTTTTTCACTTCGTCGTCGATCATTTTAAATTTCATATAAAACACAACAATTGATATCAAAGATAATGGTTACAGATGAAGTGAAGGTTTCAGAGATCGAGAGATTTGATGGCACAGATTTTGGTTTTTTGAGGATGCAGCTAGAAGGTTGTCTCTATGGAAAAAAATTTTATCTTACGTTATTGGGGAAAGACCTGAAAGGATGGATGAGAATGAATGAAATCAGTTGGATCGACAGGTTCTGAGGGTTATTCGATTGACTCTATCGAGGTCCGTTGCACACAACGTAGTCAAGGAGATGACTACTGTAGATCTTATGGCAACCATGTCAGGTACTTATGAAAAACCTTCGGCAAATAATAAGGTATATCTGACGAAAAAGTTATTCAATTTGAAGATTGCGGAAGGTACGTATATACAACACCTGAATAATTTTAATATTATCACAAATCAATTATCGTCTGTGAAAACTGAATTTGATGATGATCTACGTGCACTAATCTTGTTGGCTTCATTGTCAAATAGTTGGGAAGTTATGAGGATAGTTGTCAGTAATTCTGCAGGTAAATCTAAACTGAAATATGAAGAAATTTAAAGATATTCGTGATTTGATTTTGGCTGAAGAGGTGCGCAGAAAAGATTCTGGTGAGATCTCAGGTTCGAGTTAGGCACTAAATGTTGAATCCAGAGGGAAATCACATGACAGGAACTCAAACAGGAGAAGATCAAAATCAAAGAACAGAAGCAGGAGCAAGTCAATGCATGGTAAACAAGTAACTTGCTGAAATTGTGATAAAACTGACCACATAAAGAGGAACTGCATGACTCCTAAGAAGAAGAATGACAGCGCAAATGTGATAATTGAAGAATCACAGGATGCACTGTTGTTGGTAGTTCATAATTCTCTTGATGACTGGACACTGGATTCAGGGGCTTCTTTCCATACAACATTCCATCAGGAATTGATGCAAAATTATGTTGCAGGTGACTTTGGGAAAATATATATGGCAGATGGAGAAGCTCTGAACGTGATAGGAATGGAAGATATTAACATTGCACTTCCAAATAAGAACAAGTGGACTCTGCAAAAGGTCAGACACATTCTTGAACTGAAGAAGAACCTCATTTCTGTTGGCAGCTTGATGAGTGTGGACATTCAGTAGTGTTCTCAGATAGCACATGGAAGGTTACTAAAGAAGCACTGGTACTGGCTCAGGATAAGAAAACAGGTACGTTGTATATGACTATTGGTTTAATTAACAGTGTTGATACTATAATTGCAGAGAGCACAGAAGAGTTGTGGCATTGCAGACTTGGCCACATGAGTCAAAGAGGTATGAAGAAACTTCAGTCCAGAGGCAAAAGGCAAGTTACCAGAACTGAAGTCAGTTGATTTCAGCATGTGTGAGAGTTGCATTATGGGGAAACAAAAAAATGCCAGTTTCTTGAAAAGTGGCAGAACGCCAAAGGCAGGAAAGTTGGATCTTGTACACACAGATGTGTGGGGACATTTTCCAGTGGCATCTCTTGGATGCTCTCGTTACTACGTCACATTTATTGATGATCATAGAAGAAAGGTATAGGTTTATTTCATGAAGTATAAATCTGATGTATTCAGTGTATTCAAGATTTGGAAGGCCATGGTTGGGATAGATACAGGCTTAAAGTTAAAATGTCAGGTCTGATAATGGTAGTGAGTACATTGATGGTGGGTCCAAGACGTATTGTACAGCTCAGAAAATCAGAATGGAGAAGACCATTCCAGGAACACCATAACAAAATAGTGTTGCAGAGCGCATGAATAGAACCATTAATGAGCAGGCTAGAAGCATGAGATTGCACGTTGGACTACCACCTACTTTCTGGGCAGAAACAATCAGCACTGTCGTTTATTTGATCAACAGTGGATCATCTGTTTCATTAAACTACAAATTACCTGAAGAAATCAGGAGTGGGAAAAAGGTTAAGTTTTCTCACCTTAAAACTTTTGAATGTCTTTCTTATATTTTCATTAATTCTGATGCTCGTAATAAACTTGAGGCTAAGTCAAAGTAGTGTTATTTCATTATCTATGGAGATGATGCATTTGGATATCGTTTCTAGAATGATCAGGGTCGAAAAATCATAAGGAGCGGGAATGTGATTTTTAATGAGAATGTTATGTACAATGACAAGTTTAGTACAATTTCTGAAACAACACTGTAGAAATCTGAGTTT